AACGGTAGACTCCTGCAGAAGCGAGAGGATCCCTCTTGTCCTTTGCTGAACGGAGCATTTGTTGGATTTTCTTGGTGGGTCTGTAGATAGTTTGTATGTTGTGTTTCCTCATCAGCTTCCCTCTGCGGTCAGTGGTTCCCTTGATGTCTGGCAAGAACGCTCTTCCTCTGGGTGGATCTTTGTCTTGACTCTCGTGGCTTCTTCTCGGTGGTCTTGCAGCTCTCCTGATGTCTGAGGTGGAGTCTCCATTCGCCTGGAGAGCCCAGTTGAGGTGGTTCAGTTCCTCTTGGAGGAGGTGGGCTTCGTAGAAAATTCAACAAATGCTATGTTCAGCAAAAGACAAGAGGGATCCTCTTACTTCTGCAGGAGTCTACCGTGTACCATGCAGCTGTGGACAAGTCTACAGGGACCACCAAACGCAGCATGCCCGACACGCATCAAGGAACATGAAAGGCACTGCAGACTACTCCAACCAGAGAAATCAGCCATAGCAGAGCACCTGATGAACCAGCCTGGACACAGCATATTATTTGAGAACACAGAAATGCTGGACCACTCTCACCACCACCATGTCAGGCTACACAGAGAATCATAGAATCATAGAATCAAAGAGTTGGAAGAGACCTCATGGGCCATCCAGTCCAACCCCATTCTGCCAAGAAGCAGGCATATTGCATTCAAATCACCCCTGACAGATGGCCATCCAGCCTCTGTTTAAAAGCTTCCAAAGAAGGAGCCTCCACCACACTCCGGGGCAGAGTTCCACTGCTGAACGGCTCTCGAAGCCATTGAAATCCACAAGCATGTGGACAATTTCAACAGAAAGGAGAAACCATGAAAATGAACAAAATCTGGCTACCAGTATTAAAAAAACTCTAAAATTACAACAGCACAACAACAGAAAGGAAACAAACAAGGACATCTAATCACCTCTCAACAAGATTGCTCCAGGCACTGTCAGGCCATTCAATGCTAATCAAGGTGGTCAGTTGAAACATTCACACCTAGCTCCAGCAGACAAGAGTCCTTTGTCCCACCCTGGTCATTCCACAGATATATAACCCTTTTTCCTAGTTCCAACAGACATGAGGAGCTTTATTTTTTATTTGTCGTGTCAGAGCAACCAGTCCATTATATTACATTTCTAACAGAACAAAGCAAACAAATAGAAAAATACAAAACTTGTGGTTTGGTAGTTGGTTAAATGTCCTTTGACCAGTATCTGGCCACTTGGAGTGCTTCTGGTGTTGCGCAAGAAGGTCCTCCATTGTGCATGTGGCAGGGCTCAGGTTGCATTGCAGCAGGTGGTCAGTGGTTTGCTCTTCTCCACACTCGCATGTCGAGGATTCCACTTTGTGGCCCCATTTCTTGAGGTTGGCTCTGCATCTCGTGGTGCCAGAGCGCAGTCTGTTCAGTGCCTTCCAAGTCACCCAGTCCTCTGTGTGCCCAGGAGGGAGTCTCTCATTTGGTATCAGCCATTGATTGAGGTTCTGGGTTTGAGCCTGCCACTTTTGGACTCTCGCTTGCTGAGGTGTTCCAGCGAGTGTCTCTGTAGATCTTAGAAAACTATTTCTAGATTTAAGTCATTGACTTGCTGGCTGATACCCAAACAGGGGATGAGCTGGAGATGTCTCTGCCTTGGTCCTTTCACTATTGGCTGCTACTTCCCGGCGGATGTCAGGTGGTGCAATACCGGCTAAGCAGTGTAATTTCTCCACTGGTGTAGGGCGCAGACACCCTGTGATAATGTGGCATGTCTCATTAAGAGCCATATCCACTGTTTTAGTGTTTTAGCAACCAGAGACCTCTGAGGATGCTTGCCATAGATGCAGGCGAAACGTCAGGAGAGAATGCCTCTAGACCATGGCCATATAGCTCGAAAAAAATCTACAACAACCCAGGGATTCTGGCCATGAAAGCCTTCGACAATATATTGCATTTCTGTGTCTTTGTTTTGATGTTGCTTTTCTCAATAAACTACAAAAACCTACAGCCTTGGTGTGGTGGTGTCTGGAGCAAGGTGTAAACTACCCTGAGTTGCAAAAGCAGGCTGGCTTCCCCTCTCTTGGCAAGCAGCCCTGGCTCAGAGCCGGCAGCCAAAGCAACTTCTTAATTCTTAACCCAGGACAAAACACAAGGCGGGGAAGCAGCTGACGTGCTTTGTCCGGAGCCTGGCAGCGAGCGGCCTCTTTGGATGCCGAGGGCACCCGGGGACACCTGCTCCTCTGCCGCAGGCCTCTCCTGACCAATGGACCGGAAGGTCCCGTCTCTGGCCACCCCACCCCCTGGCCCCAGCCCCCTTTGACCCTCCCTCCTTCTCTCCCTCGGGGCTGCAGCCTGGGAATGTCCTCTCGGTGCCAGGCAAGAGGCCTCCTTGCCGGTGGATGAGGATGCAGACAGTGCCGGATTGACCCTTGCACTCTGGTGCACCCAACGTCCGGCCCAAAAAATAATGTTTACGATGCATTTTGCTGATCTGCTGCAATTCTAAACTTGAAAGCGTTCCTTTTCGGAGAGATTCCAGACATAACAATAATAGAGTGGGGTGTTGCGTGGTTTCCGAGCTGTATGGCCGCTTTCTAGCAGCATTTTCTCCTGATGTTTCACCTGCATCTGTGACTCATGGCATCTTCAGAGGAGAATAATAATAATAACTGAAATGGGACAACTATGGCAAAAGAGAACAATAGTGGGATCAAGCAGGGTTGGTGCTCTTGGAGGGATTCATTCCGAAAAACCTCGAAAAGACTTAATTTGGACAGAACATCAATCCAGATGCGGCAGAAGGAAGGCAGCACTTCTTGGAATTGCGCACATTCTACAAAAATACCTCTATAATACCCTTGGCCCTTGAGAAGAGCCCGATATTCAGAGATGAAGCCCAGACACTTGAACCTAATGTGTGCTGTGATGTAATGTACATGTTTATCAGTGGAACTCTCTGCCCTGGAGTGCGGTGGAGGCTCCTTCTTTGGAGGCTTTTAAACAGAGGCTAGGTGGCCATCTGTCGGGGGGGCTTTGGATGTGATTTTCCTGCTTCTTGGCAGACTACTATTTACTCAAATCTAATGCTCACATTTTTTTTCCTTAATGACCTTGCTGAAATTAGTGTGTGCATTGAATTGCATAATAAGGTCACCTTAGTGCTGAGCCAAAGCCAAACGCAAAGCTGCTTCAGGAGCTGCACCTGGAGCTTCCATTTGAGGGACCTCATGTCTCATTTAATGGCCAGGTTCAATGCTATGCAATGCTGGGATTTGTAGTTTGGTGAGATAACGGCATTCTTTGGCAGAGAAGGCTCAAGACACCGGGACGGTGGCACAGCTGGCTAGAAGTCAGCTGCATTAAGATCACTTCTGACCGAAAGGTCATGGGTTCGAAGCCAGCCCGGGTTGGAGTGAGCTTCCAACCAACTTGTGTAGCTTGCTGTCAACATTTGCAGCTTGAAAGACAGTTGCATCTGTCAAGTAGGAAATTTAAGTACCGCTTATGCGGGGAGGCTAATTTACAACGCCATAAAAATCTCCAGCAAGCATGCAAAGAATGAGGAAGTATTGTCGAAGGCTTTCATGGCCGGAATCACTAGGTTCTTGTGGGTTTTTTCAGGCTATAGAGCCATGTTCTAGAGGCATTTCTCCTGACGTTTCGCCTGCATCTATGGCAAGCATCCTCAGAGGTACTTCATCGGTGTCACAAATGGACGGTGAAGCGACAGCTCCCCCGGTGGCCAGAATACCCTCCTGAAAAAGCTGGAATGTTAAATGGCCTCTGTGTGTCTGTCTATATATGTTGTGTGTCTATGGCATTGAATGTTTGCCATGTACATTGTAATCTGCCCTGAGTCCCCTCCAGGGTGAGAAAGGCGGAATAGAAATACTGTAAACAAATAATAAATAAATAATTGTCAAACGACATCCCGCATGACTCCCTAGCATTGAACCAAGGCAATTAAAGTGGATTCATTCTGCAGCATCGATGCACCCCAAGGTTTTCTCTTCTGTTGCTTGACCATCCCAGAATCCTCAGCTTCATCGTGGCTAACAACACTCTCCTGTCCAAAATCCCCATTTCCAGGCCCCTGTCGGATTGGCTTTTGACTACAGTAGAGACTTTTGATCCCTGGACTTTGTTTATTGAACTCTCAGCATTTGACCACTGGACTGGACTTGTTGACTAGGGAGTTATCTTGAACCTGAAACAGTGTTTGCTGTTTTTTGTTTTATATTCTGTGGCTGAGTGCAATCTTTATGTTTTGGACTATTAAAACAGCCAGAAAGTAAGTGCTATTTAATTAAATTGTTTTATACAAACAGGGTTTTTGTTTGGTTCATCTCTACCTGAATAAGGCAGAGCCCTGGCATTGTGACACATTATCCCCTGGGCGATAGTATGATAGCTGGGACCCTACGCTATGCTGGTTGCGCAACGCGAGTCTGAATTAGGGGAACACATGGGTGAGATAGCACAGGGAGTGAGAGAGACGCAGCTCCGGCGGGAGTGAGAGACTCAACTGCGATAGAGTCGTCAGAGAGGGGGATAGGGAATGGCACCCCTGCCCCCCTTTCTGCCCCCCATAGCATGCCAGAAAGAGGGGCAGGGAATGGCACCTGGGTTACATTAGTTCACTGGTATCCTGTGTCAGCTGCGTTCCTCACTTGCGCTGTTGTCTGGTGCACGTGTTTCCTTCATTAATTCAGACCGCGTTGCGCAACTAGTGTAGGGTCCCAGCTATCATACTATTGCCCTCCTCTGGATCCGCAATTAAAACATTCCTTTCACATTCCAACCTTGACTCCCTTGGGAAACCTAACACAAGACTATACTGGCACATCTCATGCAGGCTTGGCCATCCCAGAATCCTCAGCTTCAGCGTGGCTAACAACACTCTCCTGTCCGAAATCCCCATTTCCAGTCCCTGTGGGTCTGCAGGACGTTGGCCATTAGGCACTGAAACCTCAGGCAACGGAACAAGCGCAGGCTGAGCCACTGCACACACCTACCAGGTCAAAGATGTTGGGCCGGGCTTGGTTCCCGATGTGGAGCAGGTCCCGGAATCCGCGGGTGATGAGGAGGGCCAGGCGCTCCCCCTTGCGCTCCAGCAGGGCGTTGGTGGCCACCGTGGTGCCCATGCGCAGCCAGGCAATGCGCGAGGTGTCCATGGGCTGGTCCTTGGGGAAGGGTATGCCACATTCCTGGGGGAGGGGAGGGAAAAGGGCCAATGGTCACTGAAAGGAGACACAGAGTCAGGCTCCATGTGCCCCTCAAGCCACACCTGCTCTCCCTCTGCAAAGGTGCCTACGAAGCACAACAGCTCTCTGGAACAGGACAAGCTTCCCTCCTCAATGGAAAGTGTAAGTACAGAAACATAGAGGTGAGAGAGAACCCCAAGAGCCATCCAGTTCAACCTCCTGGGCACCACAATTGAAGGGAGACATTGACAAGCTGGAATGTGTCCAGAGGAGGGCGACAAAAATGATCCAGGGTCTGGAGAACAAGCCCTATGTGGAGTGGCTTAAAGAGCTGGGCATGTTTAGCCTGCAGAAGAGAAGGCGGAGAGGAGACATGTTGAGGGCCATGTATAAATATGTGAGAGGAAGTTGTAGGGAGGAAGGAGAAGGCTTGTTTTCTGCTGCCCTGGAGACTAGGACACAATGGAACAAGGGCTTCAAACTACAGGAAAGGAGGAGATTCCATCTGAACATGAGGAAGAACTTCCTGACTGGGAGAGATGTTCAGCAGTGGAACTCTCTGCCTCAGAGTGTGGTGAAGGCTCCTTCTTTGGAAGCTTTTAAACAGGGGCTGGATGGCCATCTGTCGGGGGTGCTTTGAATGTGATTTTCCTGCTTCTTGGCAGAATGGGGTTTGTGCAGGTACAGCTATACCAGGAGCTCCAATTTTGTTTGCTTTGCACTGAATATTTGTTGTAGTCCTAAGTTTCAGGGACTCTGCAGATAGGTGGCTTCTTTTGGCTGCAATCATAGGGCAAGCCACCTGTCAATTATTGTTAGGTTCCCTAGTCCCGCCCCCTTTTTGGGCTTTGGAAGGGAAGTGAGCCATTTTGTTAGTTAGTCTCAACCAGGTTAGCCAATGTATAGGATGTGTTTACTTCCCTTGTACAAAGGCTTCAACCTTTAAGAATTCCAGGGTCACAGAAATTCTAACAGAATGTCCAGGGAAAGAATTTCCAGGGGAGAACAGCTTTAAGAGTCTCCTAAGAACTCCAGGGAAGCCTTCCCACAGCTTTGGGAGTTTCCAGGAATACAGCCTTAAAGTTTAAAGAACTCCAGCTGGAGAACATCCATTGCCTTGCTGGTAGGTTCACTTAGCGCTCGAGAAGCAGTTCGGCCTGGTAGCGGAACCCACACCAGTGAGGGTTGGATTTTAGTCAGCCTTGGGAGAAGATAAAAAAGGGGAATTTCCCTTTAAAGAAAAGTTATTGAAGATAGTGCCTGTCCCCTGTGGACAAGATTGAGAGAACTAATACTTTGTCAAGAAAGCCTTGCAGTTCCTGTTTAATTTCATTAATAAAGGACTTTGTTGTACTTCTTAAGCCATCTGAAGATTCTTTGTAGAGGAAACCTCTGAGAACTTTTCCTTAGGCCCCTGGCTTCCCGCTGGGCAAAGGTTACATCCTATTTTTAAAGTCAACTAACTACAGGCGCATCAGCGACAGAACAGGGTTGGACTGGATGGCCCACCAGGTCTCTTCCAGCGCTATGATTCTACGATTCCTTCAGCCAAGCAGGAGGACATAATCAAAGCACCTCCAACAGGTGGCCATCCAGCCTCGACTTAAAAGCCTCCAGAGAAGGAGAGACGTCGTTGGAATCCCAGGAATCATCAGATTCTACTGCTGAATGGCTCTTCCTGTCGGGAAGTTCTGCCGAATGTTTTGGTGGAATTTCTTTGCCTGCAGTGGCTCCATTGCATAGAATCATAGAATAATAGAGCTGGAAGAGACCTCATGGTCCATCCAGTCCAACCCCCTGCCATGTAGGAAAAGGACAATCCCCCAAAGTCAACATCGACACCGAAATACAACACCGCCTGAGCTCTGCGAGTGCAGCATTTTTCCGAATGAAGCAGAAAGTGTTTGAGGAGCGGGACATCCGTAGGGAGACCAAGGGGCTTGTTTATAAAACTCTTGTTCTCCCAAACCTGCTATACGCCTGCGAAACGTGGACTGTCTACAGACGTCAACATTGAGACTGAAATACAACACCACCTGAGCTCTGTGAGTGCAGCATTTTTCCAAATGAAGCAGAGAGTGTTTGAGGACCGGGACATCCGTAGGGAGACCAAGGTGCTTGTTTATAAAGCTATTGTCCTCCCAACCCTGCTATATGCTTGCGAAACATGGACTGTCTACAGACGTCAACATTGAGACTGAAATACAACACCACCTGAGCTCTGCGAGTGCAGCATTTTTCCGAATGAAGCAGACAGTGTTTGAGGAGCGGGACATCCGTAGGGAGACCAAGGGGCTTGTTTATAAAACTCTTGTTCTCCCAAACCTGCTATACGCCTGCGAAACGTGGACTGTCTACAGACGTCAACATTGAGACTGAAATACAACACCACCTGAGCTCTGTGAGTGCAGCTTTTTTCCAAATGAAGCAGACAGTGTTTGAGGACCGGGACATCCGTAGGGAGACCAAGGTGCTTGTTTATAAAGCTATTGTCCTCCCAACCCTGCTATATAGCTGCGAAACAGGGACTGTCTACAGACGTCAACATTGAGACTGAAATACAACACTGCCTGAGCTCTGCGAGTGCAGCATTTTTCCGAATGAAGCAGAGAGTGTTTGAGGACTGGGACATCCGTAGGGAGACCAAGGGGCTTGTTTAAAAGCTATTGTCCTCCCAACCCTGCTATATGGCTGCGAGACGTGGACTGTCTACAGACGTCACACTCAACTCCTGGAACGATTCTATCAGCATTGCCTCCGGAAAATCCTCCAAATCTCTTGGGAAGACAGGTGGACAAATGTCAGTGTGCTGGAAGAAGCAAAGACCACCAGCATTGAAGTGATGGTCCTCTCCTATCAACTCTGCTGGACTGGTCACATTGTCTGGATGCCTGACCACCGTCTCCCAAAAGAGTTGTTATACTCTGAACTCAAGAATGGAAAATGGAATGTCGGTGGACAGGAAAAGAGATTTAAAGACGGGCTCAAAGCCAACCTTAAGAACTCTGGCATAGACACTGAGAACTGGGAAGCCCTGGCCCTTGAGCTCCAGCTGGAGGTCAGCTGTGACCAGCAGTGCTGAGAATTGAAGAGGCACGAATGGAGGGTGAAGAGAGAAACGTGCCAAGAGGATGGCGTGTCAAGCCAACCCTGACTGGGACCTCTTTCCATCTGGAAACCTCACTGCGGAAGGGAGAACATGGAAATCAAGAATCGGGTTCCCCAGCCACCCAAGGACCCACCGCCAAGACACATCACTTGGAGGACCATCATCCTGGGACTACGAGGGACCGCCTAAGCCAAGCATGACACTCTTGGGTGACGTTGTGGTCTACTCATAAGACTCCTCGAGAGAAAGAGAGAGACCCCTTCCCTTCCAAGGCAGGTGTCCCTTGTCCCCCCCTCATAGAATCCTAGAATCCTAGAGTTGGAAGAGCCCTCCTGGGCCATCATCCAGTCCAACCCCATTCTGCCAAGAAGCAGGAATATTGCATTCAAATCACCCCTGACAGATGGCCATCCAGCCTCTGTTAAAAGCTTCCAAAGAAGGAGCCTCCACCACACTCCGGGGCAGAGAGTTCCACTGCTGAACGGCTCTCACAGTCAGGAAGTTCTTTCCTCATGTTCAGATGGAATCTCCTCTCTTGTAGTTTGAAGCCATTGTTCCGCGTCCTAGTCTCCAGGGAAGCAGAAAACAAGCTTGCTCCCTCCTCCCTGTGGCTTCCTCTCACATATTTATACATGGCTATCATATCTCCTCTCAGCCTTCTCTTCTTCAGGCTAAACATGCCCAGCTCCTTAAGCCACTCCTCATAGGGCTTGTTCTCCAGACCCTTGATCTGCTCCCTCCTCCTGTTGGCTTCCTCTCACATACTTATACATGGCTATCATATCTCCTCTAAGCCTTCTCTTCTTCAGGCTAAACATGCCCAGCTCCTTAAGCCGCTCCTCATAGGGCTTGTTCTCCAGACCCTTGTCTGGAGAACAATTCTCCAGAATTCCAGACATGGCTATCATATCTCCTCTCAACCTTCTCTTCTTCAGGCTAAACATGCCCAGCTCCTTAGCCGCTCCTCATAGGGCTTGTTCTCCAGACCCTTGATCTGCTCTCTCCTCCCTGTGGCTTCCTCTCACATATTTATACATGGCTATCATATCTCCTCTCAGCCTTCTCTTCTTCAGGCTAAACATGCCCAGCTCCTTAAGCCGCTCCTCATAGGGCTTGTTCTCCAGACCCTTGATCTCCTCCCTGTGGCTTCCTCTCACATATTTATACATGGCTCTCATGTCTCCTCTCAGCCTTCTCTTCTTCAGGCTAAACATGCCCAGCTCCTTAAGCCGCTCCTCATAGGGCTTGTTCTCCAGACCCTTGATCTGCTCCTTCCTCCCTGTGGCTTCCTCTCACATATTTATACATGGCCCTCATCATATCTCCTCTCAGCCTTCTCTTCTTCAGGCTAAACATTGTTCGCGTCCTAGTCTCCAAGGAAGCAGAAAACAAGCTTGCTCCCTCCTCCCTGTGGCTTCCTCTCACATATTTATACATGGCTATCATATCTCCTCTCAGCCTTCTCTCCTTCAGGCTAAACATGCCCAGCTCCTTAAGCCGCTCCTCATAGGGCTTGTTCTCCAGACCCTTGATCATTTTAGTCACCCTCCTCTGGACACATTCCAGCTCTCATATATTTATACATGGCTATCATGTCTCCTCTCAGCCTTCTCTTCTTCAGGCTAAACATGCCCAGCTCTTTAAGCTGCTCCTCATGGGGCTTGTTCCCAGTCTCCATGGAAGCAGAAAACAAGCTTGCTCCCTCCTCCCTGTGGCTTCCTCTCACATATTTATACATGGCTATCATGTCTCCTCTCAGCCTTCTCTTCTTCAGGCTAAACATGCCCAGCTCCTTAAGCCGCTCCTCATAGGATTTGTTCTCCAGACCCTTGATCTTGCTCCCTCCTCCCTGTGGCTTCCTCTCACATATTTCTACATGGCTATCATATCTCCTCTCAGCCTTCTCTTCTTCAGGCTAAACATGCCCAGCTCCTTAAGCCGCTCCTCATAGGGCTTGTTCTCCAGATCCTTAATCATTTGAGTCGCCCTCTTTCTCTGGACACACTCCAGCTTAGAGTCAAGATCTCTCTTCAATGGTGGTGCCCAGAATTGGACACAATATTCTGGGCCTGTCCTCTCTTCCTGCCTGAGTGGCACCCCCTTGCCCTTGCCTTGCCGGGCTCACCTCCTCCAGGACCCTCCGGATGCCCTCGGTGGGGGCGTCGCGGTAGTTGTGGGGGTCTTCGGAGAGCAGCTTGAGGGCGCGGACCCTCCTCTTCCTCCCCGGCCCGGGGCAGAGCGCGAAGACGTCCGTGAAGGTCCCGCCGCGGTCGATGGCGAAGCGGAACTTCCCCTCCATGCCTCAGAACTTGGAAGACCGAAAGGAAGGGGAAGAAGAGAAAGAAGGAAGCCTCAAAAGGAAGAAGGAAGGGAGGAGGAAAAGAAGGAGGAGGAGAAGGAGGAAGGAAGGAGGGAAGGGAGGGGGGGAGGGAAGGAAGGAGGAGGAAGAAGGAGGAAGGAAAGGAGGAGAGGGAAAGGAAGAAGGAAAGGAAGGAAGGAAAGAAGAAGGAAGGAAAAGGAAGGAAAGAGAAAGGAGGAGGAAGGAAGGAAGGAAGGAAGGAAGGAAGGAAGGAGGAGGAGGAGGAGGAGGAGAGCCTCAAAAAGAAGTCCAAAAGAAGGAGGAGAAGGAAGGAAGGAGGAGCTAGAGCCACCGCCCTCCAACTACCAAGTGCCAAGTTCTAACTGAAGGGAGAAGAAAGGAGGAGGAAGGAAGGAAGGAAGGGCAAAGGAACTAAAAGGAAGGGAAGGAAGGGAAAGGAATCCTAAAAGGAAGAAGGAAAAGGAAGGAAGGGAGCCTCAAAAGGAATCCTAAAAGGAAGAAGGAAAAGGAAGGAAGGGAGCCTCAAAAGGAATCCTAAAAGGAAGAAGGAAAAGGAAGGAAGGGAGCCTCAAAAGGAATCCTAAAAGGAAGAAGGAAAAGGAAGGAAGGGAGCCTCAAAAGGAATCCTAAAAGGAAGAAGGAAGGGAAGAAGAAAGGAGAGGAGGAGGGAAGGAAGGAAGGATGAAAGGGAGAAAGGCAGGAGAAGGAAGGAAAGGAAAGAAGCCTCAAAAGGAATCCCAAAAAAGTAGGAGAAGGAGAAGCAAGAGAAGAAAGGAGGAGAAGAAAGGAGGAGAGCTTCAAAAGAAGGAGAAGGAGAAGCAGGGGAAGGAGAAGAAGGAAAGGAAGGAAGCCTCAAGAGGAAGCCCTAAAGGAAGGAGAGAGTGAAAGAGAAGGAGGAGGAGGAAGGGAGCCCCAAAAGAAGGAGAAGAAGCAGAAGAAAGGAGGAGGAAGGAAGAGAAAGAAGCCCAAAAGGAAGGAGGTGGAGGAAGAGGAGGAGGAGGAGGAAGGGAGCCTCCTCCAAAAGGAGAAGGAAAAGCTGAAGGAAGGAAGGGAAGGAAGCCTCAAAAGGAATCCTAAAAGGAAGGAGGAGGAGGAAGAGAAGGAGGAGAAGGAAAGAAGGGTGCCTCAAAGGAATCCCTAAAGAAAGGAAAGGAGGAAGGAGGAGAAGAAAGGAGGATGAAGGATAGGAAGACAGGATTCTTAAAATGGAGGAGAAAGAGAAGGAGGAAAAGGAACCTCAAAAGGAATCCCAAAAGGAAGGAGAGAGTGAAAGAGGAGGAGGAGGAGGAGGAAGGGAGCCTCAGAAAGAAGGAGAAAAAGGAGAAGCAGAAGAAAGGAGGAGGAAGGAAGGGAAGGAAGCCTCAAAGGGAAGCCCTAAAGGAAGGAGGAAGAGGAGGAGGAGGAGGAGGAGCAGGAGAGGAGCCTCAAAAGGAGAAGCTGGAGAAGGAAGGAAAGGAAGGAAGCCTCAAAAGTCATCCTAAAAGGAAGGAGGAGAAAGAGAAGGAAAGAAGTGTGTCTCAAAGGAATCCCTAAAGAAAGGAAAGGGGGAAGGAGGAGAAGGGAGGAGGAGGAAGGATAGGAAGGAAGGGTTCTTAAAAGGAAGGAGAAAGAGGAGGAGGAGGAAAAGGAAGGGAACCTCAAAAGGAATCCCAAAAGGAAGGAGAGAGTGAAAGAGAAGGAGGAGGAAGAGAGCCTCAAAAGAAGCAGAAAGAGAAGCAGAAGAAAGAAGGGGAAGGAATAGAAGGAAGCTTCAAAGGGAAGCCCTAAAGGAAGGAGAAAGAGGAAGAGAAGGAGGAAGAGGAGGAGGAGGAAGGGAGCCTCAAAAAAGGAGGAGAAGCTGGAGAAGGAAGGGAAGGAAGCCTCAAAAGGAAGGAAGGAAGGAAGGAAGGAAGGAAGGAAGGAAGGAAGGAAGGAAGGAAGCCTCAAAAGGAATCCCTACACGAGGAAGGAGGAGAAGAAAGGAGGAGAAGCTGGAGAAGGAAGGAAGGGAAGGAAGCCTCAAAGGGAAGCCCTAAAGGAAGAAGGAGGAAGAGGAGGAGGAGGAGGAAGGAAGGAAGGAAGGAAGGAAGCCTCAAAAGGAATCCCTAAAGGAAGGAGAAAGAGGAGGAGGCGGAAGGAAGGAAGGAAGGAAGGAAGGAAGGAAGGAAGGAAGAGGAAGAGGAGGAGGAAGGAAGGAACAAAAGGAATCCCTACACGAGGAAGAGAAGGAGCGAAGGAGGAGAAGTGGAGAAGAGGAGGAAAGGAGATGAAAGAGAAAAGGAGGAGAAGGAGGAAGAGGATGAGGAGGAAGGAAGGAGGAAGAAAGCCTCAAAAGGAATCCCTAAAGGAAGGAGAAAGAGGAGGAGGAGGAAGGAAGGAAGGAAGGAAGGAAGGAAGCCTCAAAAGGAATCCTAAAAGGAAGGAGAAAGAGGAGGAGGAGGAGGAGAGGAAGGGAGGAAGGAAGAGAAAGGAGAAAGAAAGGGAGGGAGGAGGAGGAAGGAAGAGAAGGAAGGAGAAGGAAGGAAGGAAGGAAGGAAGGAAGGAAGGAAGGAAGGAAGGAAGCCTCAAAAGGAATCCCTACACGAGGAAGGAGGAGAAGAAAGGAGGAGAAGCTGGAGAAGGAAGGAAGGGAAGGAAGCCTCAAAGGGAAGCCCTAAAGGAAGAAGGAGGAAGAGGAGGAGGAGGAGGAAGGAAGGAAGGAAGGAAGGAAGCCTCAAAAGGAATCCCTAAAGGAAGGAGAAAGGAAGGAAGGAAGGAAGGAAGGAAGGAAGGAAGGAAGCCTCAAAAGGAATCCCTACACGAGGAAGGAGGAGAAGAAAGGAGGAGAAGCTGGAGAAGGAAGGAAGGGAAGGAAGCCTCAAAGGGAAGCCCTAAAGGAAGAAGGAGGAAGAGGAGGAGGAGGAGGAAGGAAGGAAGGAAGCCTCAAAAGGAATCCCTAAAGGAAGGAGAAAGAGGAGGAGGAAGGAAGGAAGGAAGGAAGGAAGGAAGGAAGGAAGGAAGGAAGAAAGAAGGAGAGAAAGACTGGAGAAGGAAGGAGGAGGAAGAAGGAGAAGGAAGAAGGAGGAAGAGGGGGAAGGAAGGAAGGAAGGAAGGAAGAAGCATGGAAGGGAATCCAAGGAAGGAGAAAGAGGAGGAGGAGGAGAGGAAGGAAGAGAGAGGAAGGAAGCCTCAAAGGAAGGAAGGAGGGAAGATTGTAGGTGAGATGAAAGGAGAAAAGGGAAGAAGGAAGGAGGGATGGAAAGAAAGGGAAGGCTTAGGAAGAAGTGGGTAGAAGGAAGGGATAGAGGAAAAGGGGAAAGAAGGAAGAGAAAAGGGAGAAGGGAAAACAAAATGCTAAAGAAGGGATAGATGGAAGGAGGGAATAGAGGAAGGGAAGGCAAAGAAAGGAAGGAGGAAGGAAGTAAAGGAAAAGCCTCAAAAGGAATCCCTACACTAGGAAGGAGAAGAAGAAAGGAGGAGAAGCTGGAGAAGGAAGGAAGGGAAGGAAGCCTCAAAGGGAAGCCCTAAAGGAAGAAGGAGGAAGAGGAGGAGGAGGAAGGAAGGAAGGAAGGAAGGAAGGAAGGAAGGAAGGAAGCCTCAAAAGGAATCCTAAAAGGAAGGAGAGGGAGGAAGAGAAGGAGGAGGAAGGGAGCCTCAAAAGGAAGAGGAGAAGCTGGAGAAGGAAGGGAAGGGAAGGAAGCCTCAAAAGGAATCAGAAAAGGAAGGAGAAGGAAGGGAGAAAGAGAGAAAGGAAGGAGGAGCTGGAGCCCCCGCCCTCCAACCACCAAGTTCTAACTGAACGGCTGCCTGTGCGCGCGCTTGGCTTCAGGAGGAAAGGAAAAGGGAAGGGGGGGGCTTCACGTGGGAGGGGATTTCTCTTTGGGGAAATGGAGTTGGGGTCTGATTTTTGGGGGGGTTAAAGGCCATCGCTTGGGCCACCTTTGGGCCAAATTTGGGCGGGGAAAGCCGTCGGGGAGGGCGACGGGGGTGGTGCGTAAAAGTCGCCAAAGGCGACTTTTACGCACCAACCCCGTCGCCCTCCCCGACGGCTTTCCCCGAAATGGATGGGACAACAAAGGCTTTCAAAGGGGTCTCTCGGCTCCCCTAACCATTGGGGAGAATGACATCAAGGTGGGGGTCCCAATAAGCCCCCTCCCTTCGCAGAAACGCCTTGCATTTGGTGCACAAAACATTTTACGCACCAACATTTTACGCACCAAGTTTTGTGCGCTTTTCCCAAACTGAGCCCTTAGAATTTGGGATAATTTGGGGTCAACAATAAGCAGACCCCCCCCCCCCCCAATTGTGCTCCCCCCGCTTTGTGGAATAACTCCCATGTCAGGCGCTTCAGGGCTTGGAAGATGCCCCTCCTCCTCCTCCTCCTCTATATTTTGGGAGGCGACTTTTACGCACCGACTTTAGCTCCTCCTTTCTCTCCTTGGACGCTTTTTCCAATCTAGTGGAGCCCTCAAAAGGGTTGACCAAGGGGGGGGGGGTGTCTTTTTTGCACCCCTAACTTTTTAGGGAAAGTGGGTGGACCCCCTCCCCCCCAAATTAAGACCCCCGCTTGGCATGCCAGCCTTTGCATTTGGCGCAAAATCATTTGCGACTTTTTACGCACGGACAACTAGCCCTTCTCCCCAATTGGAGTAGCAAAAAAGGGGGCGATAACGGGGGTCTCTTGGCACCCCTAACTTATGGGAAATTGGGGGGGGGAATAAGTTGGCCCCCTGTCGTTGATTAAGCGCCATTGCAGGTGTTTTGGAGTGGACTTGGCTGCTCTCCTTCCCTTTCATTGGAGGAGACGTGTTGACACACAAGCTCTTGCCTCCTCCTCTTGCTTTTGAAGACGAGAGGTGACTTAGGACTCTATCACTTGCAGATAGCAGGGAGCTTTGAGATGGTAGAACAGAAGCTCTCCAAAGCTCTAGGTGCTCTAACTGCCTATTACAGGGAAAACCAACTGATCCCTAATCCATCTAAAACACAGCATGTGCCTTTCACCTTAAGAACAGACAAGCATCCCGAGCTCTGAGGATTACCTGGGAAGGAATCCCACTGGAGCATTGCAGCGCACCC